GATGGCGCTTCAGTGCAGAGTGCTTTTCACGCGAAGCATTTGACTGATCGCTTCATCATGAAGGCTACGCTTCTACATGGGCATCCCAAGGTAACTTCGAAAACTATTTGCGACAAGTTGCGCTCCTCCAGAGAATCCGGTCGAAAGGCCTTACCGCGAGAGAACTGGGTGGCCGTGATGGAAGCTTGCGCTGGTTCTCCCATCCTTGACTTCCAAGACGACACCCTCCAACTTCGTGCTATACCGCAAGATGCACCAGGGCGGACATTCTACCACAATGAGCTGATGAAGTTGTGCGGAGTCACCATGAGAGAGCTCATGACAGCCATGAACCGAGCCGCAGCCGCAAAGGCGAAATCGGCAGCTCCTCCCAAGCGGAAGCGACAAGACGGACACGAAGATTAGATTGGTAGTAATGCCAGCTACAGGCTGAAAAAAGAGATCTGTGCATCTGGCAGCTGGCGTTTGCGCACAAAAGCCCCCAAGGTGTACACAAAGGCCCCCATTCGCCACGTTTTCCCCAAATAGAATTCATATCCGTCTTCTGGAGCCCTGTGCAGGATGTGGAGATTGCGGAACACAGGATACAAACAGATGGCTCTGTGCAGGTGTTGCTGCGGGAAACAAAAGGGGCTGAAAGAGAAGCTTGGGTTTCCGAGTCTGTGGTGCACCTAGCCTTGCTGGACCAATACTTCAAACGCAAAGGTGTGGAACGACAACAGAACAAAAAGAAACGGGCCGTGGGCCCGTCCTACGTGGAATCGCCTCCGGATGTCACTGTGCTCCCACACCTCTCAGCCGCTGAAGATTTGAGCGCTGTCGCCTGCGTCACCCACAAAGAACATGAGCCACTTCAGCTGGCTAAGAGTGCGGGGGTCCTTTGCGTATGCCTTTCCTCTGGCCTCATTGTTTTGCTGCATGAAATATTTGGCTGTGAAAGCCTGTCGCAAAGATATTTTGCGCTGTCAGAAGCTAAGTGCCTGCTGCCAGAAGCAGTTCTTTGCGTCCATGACGACGCGTGCCATTTGCTGAAATACGCAGAACGCCGCAAAGAGGACGGTGATGTACAAAATGCTTTTCATGCCCATACGTGCTTTCTTTTGAAAATGCGGTTTTTGTTTTTAGAACATATAATGCGTTGGTGCTTTGTTCAAGCGCTCTCTCCCGGCAAGGAATCGCAGGCTGCTGCTGGCATCGCTCCTCCCAAGATGGCTTTCGTGTGCGACCCTTTCCATATGACCGGTCACACAGACAGATGGTGCAAAGAAACCTGCGCGCCTACTTTAGAGTGCCACAAGCAACGCTTGGAAGGAATCCGGAGCAGTGTCTGCGAATTTACATTTACGTGGCTGTCCCAATTCAAACATGCGTCCAAGCACATGAGCCAATATGGCTTCGTGTGGTTTCTCACAGAAGTGTGCTGGACGCACAACGAGCGCATTGCACAAGGGACAGGCACCATCGATAGCTTGCAGGAGATGGAGACTTGATTGGCCCACGTGAAACACAGCCCTGGAAGTGCGCGTGTGGGCGCCACTGGTTCGATGTGTCCTCTGCAACCGAAAAGCCGTGGTATTGTATACGCTGTTATTATGTATGTTTTCCCAAACATAAGTTGCCCGGCTTTTGAAAAGGGAATTCATGAAGCGGTTCCCAGAGGACATGTGGAGCCAGCCCCTGTGGATTGGAACTGCGGACAAGCGGAACAGCGGATCGGCGGATCAGCGGACCAGCGGACCAGCCCATCAGCGGATCAGCAGACCAGCGGATCAGCGGATCAGCGGATCAGCGGACCAGCGGATCAGCGGA